TACACATACGCATACATATATATATATGTATATGTATATATATATATACACATACGCATACATATATATATATGTATATGTATATATATATATGCATAGTATACATTCTATATTGTTGTTGCGATGTTGATGTTGTTGTTTACCATATACATATATATATATACATACATACGTACATATATATCACCGCATATATATGTATATCATTGTATTGATGTTGATGTTGTTGTTACCTTGATGTTTTTTTTTGATGTGTTGTTTAATCGTTGTTATCTTGCTGTTTGATGTTTGTTGTTGCACTATATATCTATATATATCTCTCTCTCTGTCTAATATATATATATATATATACATATCTATATGTATATATACATACATGTATATATAACCACATATGTGACGTACGTGTGTGCGCGCGCGAAAATTTTTAAATGTAAAAAATTAGAAATAAGAAAATTCGAAAAGGAGAAAAAACGCGAAGAGAAATAAATAAAATTTTATCCGTGAACGCGGGCGCAAACGCGTACACATGGTATATATAAAAATACATGTACATTTCAGCCAGCCAGCCTCACGCTTGGAGCGCCTTACATATATATGTATATGTATCTATATATACACACATACACATATATATATATATATTACATATATATATATATATTTAACACGATCGTTATAGTTGGTCGACCCCCTCCCCCTCAAAAGTACCACTAAAACCACCCCCTAACAGACTCGCAGCAGCAATCGTTACCTCTGTTTGCTCCCTCTTCTGCTAAGCTCTCTCCAGCGGCGGGATCCAACTTTTACTAACATTCTCCGCATTAACAATTACCATTTACCGACCACAAACGAACACATCGAGATCCCCGGTTTGTCTAATCGGCCCAGAATTATTCAAAATCCTCTCTTGGCTCGAGTATTCTACCTTTTTTTCTTTTTTTTTTTTTTTCTCTCTCGAGAGAAATTTCTACAACAACGCGAAACGAAACAATCTGGTGGGTGGATCCTCCCTTACCATCGATCGATAATATTCAATAAATACGGAAAGTAAACATATTATTAATATTTATATCGGGAAATATATATCTTTCTCTTTTCCTTCCAATCTTATCGACATGAATCACTCGATCGATAATATTCAATACGAAAAGTAAAGATATCAATGTTTATATCGGGAAATATGTATCTTTCTCTTTTTTTCCCGATCTTATCGACATGAATCACTCGATCGATAATATTCAATACGAAAAGTAAAGATATTAA